TTTTTGTCAAAGTACGAAGCGATTGAAATTATCCATACTAAATTAAAATAAGGACTTACCATTGTTTTTTTCTATTTTTTTTTTTTTTTAAAGTATTAAAATAAAAAAAAATTACCAATGATAAAATTTATTAGGTTTCATCATTTCATAAATGCATTAATCTACAGGTTTTTTAACGTAATCAAACATGTTTCAAATAAACTTACCGTTTTGTTACACCATCGAGCATTACTTTTTACAATTTTTTTTTATATATTACAAATAAAACATTTAGGTCACACAAATTTCTAAAAGTTGAAAAGATAATGCACTTCAATTGTGTTGCGTATTATTTTGAAAAAGGGGCGAAATAGCCTTTTTGATTGAATAATACAATTTTAACTTAAACGTTAACATTCTCTTTGACAGGCCCGTTGACGGGTTTATTCTATATCTTTGCATTCTTTCTAAATTAGTATACTTCAGAATAGAATATGGAAGTCGCCATTACTCACTACGAGGCCTTCAAAAAATTTCTTGCATCACATCTTGCCAAGGGTAAGTATAGTTAGCTTAGATCTAAAACTTCGAGTCGTTACGATTCGGAGCATCTCGCATCTTTATTGTATTATTTGCAACGATCTTGAATAATTTGCAAAAAAAAGTAACGGTTGACGTGTAAAAAACAGTTCTTAATTATATTGGCAAGATTTTAATACTATGCTGCATAATTAGCGAACTTACGATTCCATATTATTCTCAGAGCAAGCCAATGGTTCAAGAACAAACGCGAGGGACAAATTAACTAGACTTACAAAACTGCAATTTCAAGAACTCTCCACTGATGTGTATGACGAGTTATCACGGCGGTTACTGGGTTCGAATGCGGGTACTAATAATTCTTTAATTGGCTTAATTTTTTCATTAAAAAAAAAGCATTATCAAATATTGTAACCTTTTGTCATTCTTTTTGTCATTCTTTTGTCATTGTTGCATATTTATTTATTACCAGTTCCCTTTCTTCCTGTGTGTGATGACTTTCATCCCAAGAGGAATCAAGCACGACAGAAATTGGCAACGTTACCTAAAAATAGATTTAAAGACTTGGCGAGTGATGTTTATTATGAATTAGAGAGACGCTATCCTGAATTAAAAGATATGGATGTAAGTTTATTTTTAATTATAATATTATAAATTGAATGGTGTGCAATTTTTATTTTTTTGATTGAAATATTTTAATTTATAATTAAAAAAAAAAAATTGTAATTAAAGTTCTCAAACCCGCCATACGGCTCTCCTCCCCCATATAATCCCCCATTATATAATAATAATAATCCTCCACAGCAATCATCAATAGATGGTGCTGCATCCGGTCAAGCTGAATCAAATACCATTGTTCCCGAAACTAGTACCTTAAGACAAGAAGTAATCTCTGTTGACTTTCGCATTCAAAAACCAAATATTCGACCAGATACTTCAAATGTTACTACCAATGCTGAAAGCAGTCCAAAACCTTATTCTTCTAACAACAGTAGTAATCATAGTCTTAGTAATAATTTTCCACCATTACCAGACGGTATGCCTCCAGAGTATGGATCACCAAAAAGTCGTACTCAATCAACTACATCCTCAGCATCAGATCTTGGACATCGTCGTGCAAATGGCACTAGTATTAGTAGTGTTAGTAGCAGTTCAAGTAGAGGAAATAGAGATACAACTGCTAGTCAAAAAAGTAATAAATCCGATGCTGTTAATTTTGCCTCTCTTGATAGTTTGATGGCAGACTTGGGGGATATGATTGATCCTAATCCTAAAAAATTATCAAATGAAAATTTAACTACACGAAATGGAGAAAGGAACAATGTTTGTATTTTATATAATATTGATTGATTGATTGATTGATTGATTGATAATTCTATTTTAATTATTAATATTAATATTATATAAAATATTATAATATTTTTTTAATGCTTAGATACGTTCTGAAAT